CCTCATGGAGAAGGGAAAAGTTTACTCATCATAATCCTTCCCGCAAATGCTAACTAGCTTCACTGTTAAACAACAGTAGCTGAAGCTAGTAGCCAAGCTCATCAGCACGTCACTCTGCCCTGCGTCTGCTCTAGCATGCATGCAGACACGTTCACTTATACACTTAGCTAAGGTTAGCCAAGTTAGATAACTCTGCTAAATTAAGTATAACAAGAAACAGACATCTCTCTGCTTGCAGTAATTGTTTCCTGTGGTATATTGTTTACCTCTGTACATTAACTCGATACAAGGACAAAATAGTGTGAATAAAATAGAGCATGTGTTTAATCCGACTTGATCTCAAGGAGCCAACTAGTTCAGCTGATGGTGAGATTCTCTATCCAAATTTATATATATATATATATATATACAGAGAGAGAGAGAGAGTAAACCAACTGCCTTCAGTTATGGAAAGTGATAAGGTAACTAAAACTTCCTACATCCCGTGTCTGTTCAAATAGCTGTGTTTAGAGAACAGGCTGATGTTTTATAGTGTTTAGTTCCTTAAAAATGTTCTCCCAAGTCATTTAAATTTCAGCAAAAGCCCTATGTTGTATAGTCTTGGGTAATACATTATATAAATTACGTTTATTTGTAATTTCTGCCATATAGAAGTACACAGTAAAATGACAAATAATTTATGCAGGTCCACAGTGCAAATTCCAGACAGATTAATGACAATTATATTAGGCCTAATGCATTTTATGTTAGTGTAAATCATTTCTTTTACCCATGTAGAGGATGTGTTTTGCTCTGCCTCAGTAAACTAAAGACTAGTTTGAACGAGACAAACATTCTGTCGAGTTTATTCCTGTTCTTCTGGATGTTCTGTTGAAGACATGGTATAATTACTGTAGCCTACTTTTAAAAGCATTTTGTAAAGAAGCTGTTAAACAGTGAGAATAACTTTTTTTTCACTAAAATGCCAGTAATTATGCATCTTAATTGTATAGTTCCACTGGACAGTCTAAATAAGCTAATCACACCTTAAGCTGATTCTTAAATCATTTTAGCAAATCACAGCAGTCACTCTTACAGCTATGCGTACTTCAATGTCATATTTTAGGACAAATTATCATTATTATTATTATAAACAAAAGTGATGCAATCTTAAATGTTAGCCATGACTATAAAAAAAAAAAACATTAAAAATACTATAAAAATAATTTTCAATTTATATCTTATATTTTTTAGTCACTGGTTTTTCCATATAGTACCTTAAATCAAAGAAAATCATTTAAAAAAATGAGACGAACTGACTTACGAAACAGCCTTTACTGATCTGGATCAACCATTCCTCCTTATGAGAAATTGTCAATGAATATTAAAAAATAAACATCTAAAAATGGACCTGAGGTTGTATTATATTGGTTAAGAACTGGTCAGTGTCCTTGAACAAAGCTGGTCATTGTATCTGCCTGTATGACTGTGTGGCTCATTCAGGCATGAACATTCAGCTGTCAAGGGGTGTAGTATCTACTGGGTAGGTCATTTGTGAAAATATCAGCCATTATTTATTATATGTCATATTTCTGCTGTCACAGATGCTAAGCAAACACAGTCCTAGAGTAAATCAGAGTAAATCTGCCAGGAAGTAATGTCATTGCTCCACTATGCAAAGTGCTTTCATTTGTGAAGAATATTCAAATAAATGTAATGCAAAATGAGTATTTTAGAGCTTTAGTCATTGTAAATGAACATTTTAAATGACAATTAAATAACATGACATGCATATCGTAAGACACGGAATTAATTTCCTTTTCACTCCCAGTGCTGTGAGTAAATCTGCCAGGAAGTGATGTCATTGCTCAACTATGCAAAGTACTTAACTGGCTGGACATTGTTCCCTTGTAAATAAACTTTCAGGAATTAGAGACATTTGAATGTGTGCCATATGGTGACATTTTTGCCAGTACGATGCCTGTCCTGTAGAATATGAACAGCTCTGTTCCAGGAAACCTCATCTCACTTGAGTCATCTTCAAGTATTATGGTCATAAAGGACTTTGATGTCTTCATCTCTGTAAATGTTTCTGGACTACCACTGTCTGTCACTAAAAATAAATTGTAGCAAGTTAACTGAAATGTCTCTCAGTATACTTAGGACTTAATATAGTCAATGTGTGTACCAATATTAAAATGAAAATAAAAAATGTATCTAACAGTTTTCTTTGCTTTATAGAGCTGTATTGCTCTACAATCTAACACAACAATTTTTCAGTACAATAAGCGAAAAATATGTGCTGTAATATATGTTGATATATGAATGAATCAAATCTGTCATTTGTGATGCTTCTTAAATCTGTCATTTGTGATGCTTCTTAAATCTGTCATTTGTGATGCTTCTTGTTCTCGTGACGCATCTCAGTGAAATTCTGCTGTGATTGGCTCCGCTCAGAAAGAGGATGTTAGGCTCTCACAATCACGTGCTTCTGAGAGGGGGAGGATGGCCGCGTGCCTTGAAGCACGACCCACAGTAAGAGCATCTGGCCTGTGTTACTGTCACTGTCACCTCACACGCTTCCACGGATTTTCCAATTACCCTGAGTGTTTCCCACCATGACATTCCCTTGAGATACTGTAAAATAAACCCTTTCCAACAGCTTAGGCTAAATCAGTTTTAGCACTTCTTAGCATTTAAAATGTTTAGCATATATCAAAGAATACATAAATAGTTTTTTTTTATTACATAAAGTATATTTATTTTGAGCTCCAGTTTATATTATAGGCTACCACTTGTTTTATTTACTTTATTTTATTAATATGTAAGAATTTTATATCCAGCATATCAAAGGATATAAGTTTTATTTTATTATTACACCAGCATTTAATATGTCCTGTTTATATAATAGGGTACCATTTTTTT